TGTTATGCACAAACAATGAATCATGGAACACTACATCAAAAACTAATGATGTAATGTATGGGGATTAACATAACAATAAAAAATTAAAAAAAAATTACCCCAAATAGTTCAAAGACCTCAACATAAGAGCTAAAACTATAAAACTCTGAGAAGAAAAGATTATCTAAAATCTTCATGACATGGAATTTAGTAATGATTTCTTGGATATGCCACCCCAAGCACAGGCAACAAAAGAAAAAATAGACAATTTGTATTTTATCACAATTAAAAACTTCTGCATCAAAGGACACCATCAGCAGAGTGGAAAGGCAACCTACCATGGGACTGGAGAAAATATCTGCAAATCAAATTTCTGGTAAAGGGTTGAAACCCACAATATAAAGAACAACTATAATTCAACAGCAAAAAGCCAACCTCATTAAAAAATAGGAAAAGAAGCACTGTTAAACTCTACACTTAAGGGGCGCCTGGGTGGCTCAGTCAGTTGAGCGGGCTCTTGATTTCTGCTGGGGTCATGAGCTCAGGTCATGATCTTGGGTCGTGGGATCAAGCCCAGTGTGGGGCTCTGCATTCAGCATGGAATCTGCTTGTCCCTCTCCCTCCCTTACTCTCCCTCTGCCCCTCTCCCCGCTCTCTCTCTAAAGTGGATAGGTAAAATCTCTACCAAAAAAAACAAAACAAAACAAGCAAAAACAAACAAATAAACAAAAAAGTGTATGCTTATAAATGGTTAAGATGGGGGGGCACCTGGGTGGCTCAGTCGGATAAGTGTCCGACTCTTGACTTTGGCTCAGGTCATGATCTCTGAGTGGTGAGATTGAGCCCCACGTTAGGCTCTGTGCTCAGTGTGGAGTCTGCATGAGATTTTCTCTCTCCCTTTCCTTCTGCCCCTCCCCCAGCTCATGTTCTCTCTTTCTCTCTCTCAATAAATAAAATCTTAAAAGAATGGTTATGGTAAATTTGATGTGATATGTTTTTTGACCATAATTACAAATTTTTTAAATGGGAAAAGGACATGAATAGACACTTCTCCAAAGAAGCTATACAAATGGCCAACAAGCATGTGAAAAGATTCTCAGTATCATTTGTTATTAGAGAAATGCAAAATCAAAATCATAATGATATACCACTTTACTCCCACCAGGAGAGCCATAATTGAGGAGGGGGAAAATAACAAGTGTTAGCACAGACAGAGAAATTGGAACCCTTGTGTGTTGATGGTAGGAATGTAAAATGGTGCAGGTTCTGTGGAAAACTGTTAAAAAGTTACACACAGGCTTACCACAGGATCCAGCAATACCACTCCTGGGGATACATCCAAAAAGAACTGAAATCAGGTACTAAAACAAGCACTCATACCTGAATAGTCATCTCAGCCCTATTCACAAGAGCCAAAAAGTACAAACAATCCAAACGTCCAGCCAGGTATGGATGGATAGACGTATGTGGTACGTCGGCACAATGGACTATTATGCAGCCACCGAAAGGAATGAGGTACAGATATGTGCTCCAATACAGACCTTGGAACATGTATGCTACATGAAAAATAGCAGATGCAAAAGGTCACATACTGTATGATTCCATTTACACAAAATACTGAGAAGAAGTAAATCCATGGAAGTAGAGAGCAGAATGTTGGTTGCCAGGGGCTAGGGGTTAGGGGGAAATGGGGAGTAATAGCTTCCTGGGTACTTTGGGGTAATGAGAAAGTTCTGGAACTAGCCAGACATAGCAGCTGCACAACATTATGAACACACTAAAAGCCAATGAGCTGTTCACGTTGAACCTGCTTAGCTGTGTGACATGTGTTTTACTTCAAGTAAAAAACACAGACTAAGTACACTCCTAATATTAGTCTAAAAATATTAGAAGAAAATCAGATGCATCAATACCAGTAATCTGTGCAGAGTTAAGGAGTGTGTTTAGTTTTGCTCTTTTTGCTAAATTACATTTTGCAAAATTTCTCTTCTGAACATGTATTACATATATATATATATATACACACATACCAGTTTGTCACCCCAAATTGCATGTTCAATAAAAGGAAGAACAAATCTCCTGCTAGGATTGGTCTGGTGTAGACACAGATAAAAAATAGGCCCATCAGTTATAAAAGATGTTACACTCAAATCTTCATAGCGATTCTGAGCTGGGTTCTCTTTCTCTCTTTCTCTTTCTCTTATTCCCTGAGAGCTATGCAGATGCAGACAAAAAGGAGGCTGGACTTAGAAGGGTAAGAGATTCTCCCTGTTTAGTGCCATCAGACACGCTCAGCCATTCTGCCTGTGGATGGGAGGGTTCAGAAGAGCGTCAATTTGATAGAAATTGTAAGGGTGCAGGGATAAAGCTGCTCCCATTTATTGCATGCATCCTGGAAATAAAGACATACACTAGAAGAGTTGCTGTAGCTGGGCAAGGTGGGGGGAGAGTTATTTTTCAAGAGATCCTGTAAGTGATGGCAGACACTGCTTTGCTTCTCTTGGGAACTCGGAGTGCTGCTTATATAGTACCCAGGACGTGTTTGCTTCTATATTAGGAAGGACTTAATTCCCAGAGTAGTGGCTTCCCAAATGGGAGCCCAAGGGAGACTTTCACTCTCTCCTTTAAAAATAGCTCAGGTTAAGACTGTGCGACTTCCAGACTAGGGGACTCGGAAAAGAGTCTTTCAAAGTGAAACGATTCTGCAACTTTTGATCAAATTACTTCTGTGGGAAGGGTCTGACTTATTTATGAGAGGTGAGCTTTGGAGCCATGATGTGGGGAGTCCAAACCTCCCTCCCAAATCCCAGTCCGGACTCTGGACCCCATTCTGTAACGACCCCCCACAGCAGCACGCTAGAAGATAACATCAGCCAGACAAGAGATCTGTTGTGAGTTTGTTCAAACCGCACGTGTGCTCAAGCTACCGTTTTAACCCCAGGGCGAGGAGCTGCCTGTGTGTCTGCAAAGGGAATGATCAGCTCCAGGAGGGCAAGCTGTAATCCTCAGACCTGGGGCAAAATGGTTGCAGAGTTTCCTGTGCTCCATCCAGCGCCACGGAGGTATAGTGCAAGTCACAAGATGCAGCAGTTAAATCCCCACCACTGGAATGCCCCTCTGCAAGCCCTCTCCAGATAAGAAGGAAAGAATGTAGTTAAGAACTTTATCGTTCAAAATACCTGTCCCCAGGGACCCGCCTGCCAGGACGCACATTCTGGCTGCTGACAAGTCTGCATGGAGGCTGGCTTGCTCGCAGGGTCACAGATTCTATCGTTTAATCGATCTTCACCAAACTGACACCAGACCTGGCGATGCTTATGCCCTTTTCCGCAGGTGACCAGGCACTGTAATAAAGAGCACAGCCAATCAGGGGTGTTTCTGAACAATGTGTTGTGGTTCCCAGGGATTATTCATGGATTAGCAGGAACAGATGTGCTCTCTTCCCACAGTCATTCCTCTCTCTCATAGCAATTTGTAAATATATCAAGGCTCATTTTTCTTCCTTCCTTCCTTCCTTCCTTCCTTCCTTCCTTCCTTCC